ACTATTAGTACCAGAACTAGGATTAGATAAGAGAAATAAGATCAAAATTTTAGCCACATACTTAACTCATCAAAAGCAACAACTTTTGTTTAACGTTTTCATTTTCGAAATTTTCATGTTTATCGTGAATTTTTTCTCAGTACTAGGGCTATTAGAATCGCGGTACATAGGCGTACGTATTATTTATTAAAAAGCAACAAATTAAATGGTCTACTATACACCACCATAAACACAAACGTATGTAATTAATTACGCAACATCCGTACGATAACAAACAACAGTATATTAACATGACCTAAACGTGAAAAGTATTTTGGCACGCTATTGAATTGCGGCTCTCTCTGACAGCCTTACTCATTAGCTAAAATAACACTCAACAGTCTGCCTATGGATTAAAGAAATACTGTGTAAAATATATTAATGTTTTATTCACTATCTTGAAGTTTTTTACTAGACATCGTGATAAGTACGCGGGATTAAGTTATACATGCGGGTCTCTGCATACAGTGTACAATTATACCTTGACACTAATGAAATTTATTTTGCCGAAATAACAGCATTGATTTCTTTTTAGTGAGGAATAATTTTGCGTTTTTTTACTTTTGATCATAGTTTAATCAGTTTACAATAAATTTTATTATTTGTTTATGTTTTAATCAACTAGGTTAGGTTTATGGGTAACAAAAATTTAAAATAATATTGCCTTACTACCTTAAAAATTATTACACAAAAATTGTCACTTTTGACGGGTTATATATGTGGTTAAAATTTTGGCACTTATTTCTCGGACGCCCTTCTCTGTTTATACAGTTTTTTCTCGACAACCGTTGAGGACACATATTTTTGTTTATTTTATCTATATTATCACGCATTATTTGTACGTAATAAAAATTATATTACTGTTTCAAAGATAAATCAATGAACAATTCTAATCCTTCATATTTCACTGTTGGCAGCTATGAAATTAAACATTAGGTCACGTCAATTTGCCTTCCAATATATGGGGGCCAAAATCTGGTTAGATATAATGACTGGCATTCTGAGATATTAAACGTTTCATGCACGCAAATTAAAAAAAGCTTCTAAATGGAACTCCACTTCATTAATAATTTTATTTTTAAGCATGACGTCAGTAGATACGTCGCATTCAAAAGCTAATGATACCACAGCGAAACCACCAAAGCAGAACTGGTCGGTGGGAATAAGTTTGAAGGAGGATATTATGTAAGGCTTATTAAAGGGCTAATTGTGGATGCCAATCTAATTAGATTGCTTGAACGACGCGGTTTAATTTAATTTATCGATTGAATAGATTTATGTCAGTCAGTAAGTTGGCTTACATAAATTACGCGTTAAAACAGTTGAACTGGTTTAATTATGGCAATTTTTATACTTGAAATTACTTACCAGTTCTATTATTTGTTACGGTTTATTTCATATCATTCTTAGTGACAATTGATTTGATACAGGGTGTTGCAGGAATGATTTAGCAGGGAAAACATTAGAGGGAGGTAGAAGATCAGAAAATAAGCCCTATGAACCTATCGTGTTTTGTTTTCGAAATAAAGGGCGTTAAAGATTACTTTATAAAATCAAATTTTAAAGGCCTAACCTCAAAAAAGTTGTCACTATAATAGTGTAGTATGTATGTATTTCAAGTCGTCTCCAATTACTCTACGCAGGGACAAAGTAGAGACCCCATGACCAAGGGGGCTCAGACTACCCTCCACAGAAAGCATAAGATTCGACGCGGAATATACAGGGTGTCCCACTAATGTTGGCGAGGTACGATATAGAGAAAATATAGGCCCTAGAGCTTCGGGAAAAAAATGTTGAATAATAAATCGACCAAGAGAAATCGCTGGAAATAGTTCGGACTCGGACGCTAGGCAGCACAATCTACATATCAAAACATAGAGTTGAATTTTTCTCAGAAATGTTTCCTATTCAGGTATGTTAAACAATACAAATATGGATAGCTGGATTCTTTGCGCATAACTTTTGTTTCGATAATTAAATATTTTTTCGTTAGTGTCGTGTTCCTCAATTCATTATCATTATTTACTTTTTGCTCAATAACTTGATAACGAAATACGATATCGAACCCTTTTTAGCGTCAAAATGAAGCTACTTTTATGCTCTTCAAACTAACCTATAAAAAGTTTTATCCTGCTATTTTTTTAAGAAAACGTATAACAACCAAAACTTGGATAAATAGCGCCAATAAATAAACAACACTTTCGTTAGCAATTTCAAACTTTTCAATCAATCAATTTTTTGTGCTAAATTCATTTATGTAAAGAACACTATAGCATAGCATTTGAAATTTTTGAGAAAAATTAACAGAACGGCATTCTTTTGAAATAACGCCATCTATAGGTTTCCATATAAGGCTTTTCTTCGCGAGTGAAGTCGTATGTTGTAGTATGTGTAGTATGAGTGAATATTACGTTTTTGCGAGAATAGTCAGTCATTTAAACTACTATGTAACGTCACGAGTTTAGATCAAATGACTGAACTCTTCAGCCTTCAGCTGAATATTCTGTTGGTATATTCAGCTAGTATTGTCAGCCGGTAACTTAACCTTTTTCTTTTTGACATATTGTTTGAATGAGGATAAAAATCGTTCAACAAAATGATGGATTCTGAAACGGCTGTGGAAGTGGTCAGTTTAAATTTAAACTTTAGAGGCACACATGTTTTAGTAAACGTAGACGTTGAAACAGCAAATATTTTACTTAATGGTAAGATTAATTTTTTATATGGGATATATTTGCGATCCACTTTGCTTCAGGATTATACTCTTTTTTGTGACCTAGGCCAGAGATAATATTGGTGGAATCATTTGTAATTCAGGTCTTTTTCGTATGAATTACATAAAAAACCGACCTAACCTCTTTCTAGTTTAATTTTTTTTTATAAAAAATTTAAGAACACATATATGGGGAGCCTTGAAGCCATATGTCAAAGTCATCAAAGTACATATGACACAGGCTGCACCACTGAATAGTGAATATATACATTTTCGCGATCTGTTCAGGTTAGATAAGGTTAGAAATAAGATTAAAAGAGATAGAAAGAGTAACTACAAGTCAGACGTATTCTCCAATATTCACTCGCGAAAAAAAGCCTATTGAAGTAAATGACATTACGCATTCACCAAGAAATAAAGCATGAAACGACCTTTCCAAAGAGGTATAACACTATGGGCTTTTAATGAGCCAATCCTTAAAAAAATGCATTTTTCTGACCAGACATTAGGGGCTTCCCCCACCCTTTCTGTAGAGAGATAGAACAAAATGTCAATACTAAAAGTTATGCGCAATGAATCCGTCTATCCGTATTTGTACTTTTAATATACCTGAATAGGAAACATTTCTGAGAAACATTCAACTCTATGTTTTGGTATGTAGATTGCGCCCCCTAGCGGCCGAGCTACGAACTTGAAAACTATTTCCAGCGATTTCTCTTGGTTGATTTATTAATCAAAATTTTTTTCCCGAAGTTTTAGGGCTTATACCTACTCTAATCCTAATATCGTACCTCGCCGACCTTAGTGGGGCACCATGTACAATCAATTCAACACATTGTTAAAAATTTCACAAAATTTTGGAGAGCACATTGCTCCCGGCCTAGACCTCAGTCCTAGAGGCCTATCCACACATACACTGTCCAATCCTTTGGTTAATATCCGCAAGGATACAGCAAGCTCCTAGTAGCTTCAACCCATAGGTACGCTCAGGAGGCTTAAACAAGCTCCTAGAACTTCCAGGTTTTCAGATACTCTACCATACTAGAAGTGTCCGAAATTTACTGGAACTAGACTCAGTTGAAAGCCTCCAAAACCGTGCAATCCCGAGGAGGTACATACTAAGAGTGGAAAAAGGCGGACTAAATTATAGCGTGCACCTTATCTCAAGTCACCGCCATTGACAGAGGACAGAACTCGACAAAAAGAAAACAACTTTGACAATCTTTGACCTTTAACCTGTGTCTCAAAAATAAGAGCATGAAGTATTTCTATGTTGTTTACAAATTTCACGTGAACAGTAACAGAATTTCTCCATTTTTTCACTTAAGTATCGTTTTTGTTGAGATCCAAGTATTTCTTAAAAACATAAGTATAAATTATGACCAATAAAAAGTATTTGACATACTTAAAATAACAGTAAATTAAAAAACTCTGTTTTCCAGAAGCAGTTTAGACTCAAGTTTTTTAGCATTTAGTAAGAAGCATTTTAGTTTTACTTTCAAGTTATGCAAGTATCTATAGGTCAGAATTTTTTACATTTTTCTAATGGCGCTAAAATCGTTTGCTCTAGGCACAATTGGAGTAACGAGACAGTAATTATTCAGTTTCTACCTTTTTTACTTGATATTTTTTATTAGATTCTTGGCTGTTTCATTTGTTGTGAATTAAAAATTTGTATGCACTTTTCTGTGAGTTTATTGGACACTTTCACATTTTCAGAATTTTCCTTGCAATTTTAATGACCGTAAAAATATTTTGTTAAAAAAGTCTTTTGTATAGAAAACATTCCAGATGATATTTATATACGACTTTGTGGTGTTGAGAAATAAATGTTAATTTATTATTAATCTATAAATAATTTGTAAACAATTTGACGCGATGGAATTAGTTAATCAAGGTATCAGAATGTAACCAGAAAAACTTGACATACAAGGCGAATTCCCATTAGCATAATAAGTAATTTTTTTACTGATTTAATTAAATGGTAGGATTATACAGAAGACATGGTAATTTTGAATATGTAGTAGTAGTATTTATCTCAATTTTTAACTCTGTTATGAATATCAACATACGAGAGCATGTCCTAGTCATGTCCATTTTCGCAAATACCAGGGTGGTTGGAGTTATTTCATACATTACATTTTGCAGATTTGACTTTTATGAGTGACTATCATTCAAAAAAATTTGTAGGTTATAGATGCAGAGACCCTTTACTACTTATAAAATCAAATATGCACATGGGACTTACAGCAACATATCAGCGTAACTTTGTAGGCGATCATATTGGACTGGCTGTGCGGTAAACAGAACACTGGTAAAAAATCACAGATTTCGTCATAGATTTTAATTTGGACCCGTGCACAATATTCACGTTCGTAAACTAATGTTATAAATACGCGCGTAATATTTGAGATTGAGAATGCGAAGAACGCAAGCGCGGTGTCGAAATTTGTGGGAGTGGATGAGATGCTCGTCGCGTCACGGCGACCGTCGCTGAGCGTCGAGACGCTGGGCATTTAGGGCCATGGCATCTTCCGCGGAAAAATGTCGCGTTTATATCTATATTTAGCCTTTTGCAGCTTTATCGATTAGTTATTGTTTTGTGTGGCCGCTTCACTGATGGTGATCTTATAATAATTTAAGGTGCGATTTTATTTTTTTTCAGATGATACATAAATACCAAATAGTTTAGAAATCATACGTTTTTTAGTCCTGAGAAAATTTGTAAGTAAATACAATAACATAGAAGTGAAGATGAAAAAGAAAAAACCTGTAAAGAAATAATAAATATTTGATTTGCCTAAGTAGAAATATACCGGGTGTCCCGAAATTAATGCAACAAAATTTGGCCATCGATTCTTAACACAAATTTAGCGAACCCGTATTTTTTATTTTTATTAAGAGTCGCCCACTTTCGGAGTTACAGCCCCTTGAAATCCGTCCCTTAGAACAGTCTTTTTTATATCTCAGAACCCTGTTGTACGAAAATCACTAAATTTGGTACACAGGGATTTTATGACATGTGGAATCTGATAGTGCTGGCTGGGAATCCCTTTAAGACAACTTTTTGAGGGCCCCTTGTCTTTGAAGCCACAAAATTTGGTCGCATATTTGTTCTTAAAAATTATTAGTTCGCTAAAATGCCATTGAATTTAGAAACTTTTTTACCTCTAGATATTTTTTTCGTAAAACGCAATGTTTTCGAAAAAAATGGAGAATCACGATATACATTGCGTTTTACGAAAAAAGTATCGAGACAAAAAAGTTTCTAAATTTATAATGACAATGTTATCATTATCAAAGACATTAGTTTTGTCTTAATTACATTAATCTAATGAGATAGTCAAAAATTAAAATCTGCCATCCCTCAATATGCAAACACTAGTAAAAATTTTAATAAAGGTACTTCTTTAGATCATTGTTACGTCACATTCAAAACATATACTCGCATTTTTATTTATTCAGACTCGAAATTTCATACAGTGATACACTAGATCTTCTATACCAGGGGTCGGCAAGTAATTTTAGGTGGGGTCCGGATACTTTTGAAAATTTTTAACGAAGTCCACAAACAAAATCTCATATTCCTTATTAATTTTTTATTTTAAATTTGCACTCACAAATTTAATCTACCTACTAACCATTAAGAACTCAAATCAATCACGTAATTGTAGTAGAAATGATAAGGGTGGCACTCAAACGTATTATTATAAATAGAAAACTATTTTTTAAATAATTTTATTTCTGACCGGGATATTATAAGCTTATATCGTCATAGTTACGCTATCAATAAAGAGAGTCATAACTCCCTTGGGACATTATCGATTCTATAATTCCCTCTACCTTTCACAAGTAAAAATAAAATGAAAAATGCTAATATACATATATGTGTATATATTTATGAAATGAAAACTGAACCATATTTTATTTATTTGCGTCATTACAAATAATAAATGTACAATTTTGAAATGTTCCCTGAAAATTACTACCGCCACTGGAAACAATTTCTTCTTTTGTATGACTGGAGCTTCTGTTCACTACAGTCGAGGTACCTGCCTCTTCTAATGGCAAAGTAGACAACATACGCGCCGTTTTATTTCTCAATTCGATGCTATCCTCCAGATACCCCTCCGCCACCGTGGAACTTTTCCAACCTCCGTGTCTTTTTAATCAGGGTTGCCGTTTTGCCAGTAATTACTGGCATTTGCCAGGAATAAAGAGTCCTGCCAGTAAATTTGCCAGGATTGACTTAACGTCAGAAATTTGCCAGGGGAGCAACATTTTCAGGGATGTCGATTTGCAAATAACCCCCAACATTTGCATTATTGCATTTGTTATTAAAAGATCATAAATAAGCATCACAGAGCACAGAGATTACTTTAATCAGTTTTAAGAATTTCGATTCACGATATCACCGCTAGATGACGATGTATCATGCTTCTTTACTATTATATTTTGTCACACTTGGCACTCGGCAGCGATCCTTGTTTAATGTTTAATATTACAGGTTACAGAGTGATAGTGATAGCTATTTATACACTGACGGGATACGACGGTTAAGACAAAGGTAATAATCACCAAAATAATAGATTAAACTATTAAATTGCCAGGAATTGCAAGTAATAATATAATTAAGTTTTGCCAGGAAATGTCAGGAATGCAATCAAGTTTCGTCAGTAATTTCGTGTCGACCTAGTGGCAACCCTGTTTTTAAGTTAGTCATAGTTGCTCCTGCATTAGCTAGAGCAGTAGCAGAAGTGCGACGAAGGCAATGTTAATTGAGTAATTTATATTTTCAAAATATTTTGGGAGTCCATTATTTTACCTTCGGCGGCCTGGATCTGTTAGATGACACCATGAGAAATTTGTATTTTTCCAAAAAAAAATGTATATTTCAATTAAACAACGGTAGGAAGAAATAATAGTTTTTTTAACTTGCCAAAAGTTTGATTATAATAATAATCAATATGATTTGTTTTATATTTTTTTATCATTGCGCTATTTTTAATATTATAACGAAATTCGGCCTGCTGTGTTTATACCTACAATTGTTTACTTATTTGTTTCTTGGTGTTTCTAGAATATGTTCTGTTTCTTTTTATCATGTTCTTAGAAGCTTAGAAATTGTTCTATATTGCTCTTATGGAGAAAAGAAAAATATAAATGGACACGCTTACGAGGGGGAGAGATTTTTAAGGTGAAGTTGGTATTTGTTATTGTCGATGTTGTCAATGTTGCAAACTGTGTGTTAAAGAAAGAGCATATAATACTACATGAAGCCCATGGAGGAAGCACTTCATGTTAAAAAGTGTAGACACTCTGATGCTGTAGAGAGAAATGCGATAGCTAGGCTACTCGCTCTCTCTCTCTTTAATCCTTGAGGAAGAGTAGGGCGGTTAGGAGATGATTTTTCTGCTGGAGGGAGTTGTGGTAACCAATTAGATGCCGCGCGAGAGAGATAGTAATCAAACTATATTTTTCTCTCTCTGTTAATTGTCTACACTGTCGTCGTAAGCGTGCTTCCCCCATGTAATTATGCTCTAAGTGAAATTCGGTACAATATGTTTTTTTGACAATTGTTATTTTATTAAATAGTACCTACATTCTTTCAAAAATAAAATGATATATATTTACTCTGGGCCTGGGCCTCCAAATTGCCGAGAAAAAAGTTTATTTAAAATTACAAAGAAATGTATATTTGAATCAAATGTTAATAATAGAGAAGGAATTAAGTTTAGGCGACATGTAACCTATACGTATGTCAAGCCTTGTTTATTATTGCTTTTCAATAGCTACTAGCACAAAGCATTGCTTTGTATCTTATGGCCCTATTGACTTGACAGACTAATTTGTAGATATTATGAATGCATTTTTTTTACAAATAGAATACATTATTTAAACTTCACCCTTTAGGCGCGGGCAACAATTTCTCTTGAGCTGACGATGAATTTTAAGTTTTATACGTGTTGGGTACTTAACCTGACGTGCATAAACCGTTTTTTCCAAAATTTAATTTCTAAATTTTGCCCAATAAGGGCAGAGCTTAAGTCTATCCTATTTGGGAACAATTTACTTTTGTCGCACTACACGAAATAAACTTTTTAAACTAACGATACTGTGGGAAATAACTACCCTGTGGCCTACATACTCTGTCCAGCATTGAATTAAACACACCACACTTATTAAACAGCTGAGATCATTTGTACCGACAAAGGAGGACCACCTCTCCCTTATTGTTTATTGATGAGAACTAATAAGTTAATGGATATTGTAGGGGTAACTCAATGTTGGACAAAGATTGTAGTCCGCGGAGTAGTTGTTCCACTCAACATCATTCCTATTTACTATTAGAGATTTTTGTATATTATAAGTAGTAATAAATTGTGTATTTGAATAAAATTTGATAAAGATTATCTATTTAGCTTCGCAAGACCATAATCAAGATGTTTGATTTAATGTTATTTGTTACCCTGACTTTCAAATGTATTACACAGTGATATTTCGATTTATGTAGATGGTACATGTCTGTTCAGAATTGATTGCATCTTTTTTGGCTAGATCATCCCTACTGAAAAAAATGTTTAGTGAAACTTATAAAGTGATTATTTTAATCAATTATATGTAAACAGGTATTTTTGAAAGCTGTTTATAAAGACTTGACAAATATTAAACAGGGTGTTAGAAGTTTGACTGCCAGACGATAGAATACATTAAAATAAACCTTATATGACATGGGTCTTAAAGTCAACCATTTCCGAGAAAAAAATTATCAAAATCTCCAACTTGATGTATAAAAGTTCGATTAATTAAGAAATATTGACATAACTGCGTGCACATAATACCATAAAATACAATGTTTATCACTTTTTTTTAACTTCTTTATACGTAATTCTAAAAAATAATTAGCGTTGTAATAAATTTAAAATTCGATAAACCAAATTTCACATTGCTGCACTACACTGCAAGCCAATTTGTCTACAACTGAAATTTATGGCCGGTCACTCGCCCAGTCCGGCTGTGTTTAGTCGCCGTTTGCCCGCGCGCGCATTCTTCAACTGGGCGATCAGACCTAACATATATATGGGTATGGGGTATGGCTACATAAATATGGGAACAAGTTTTTTAAATATTTCAATGCTGAGTTGCCGCGTAGCGACCGAACCTGGTACATACCGTCTAGCTCTTTGGTCTTCAATTGAGATCGGAAAGACTATACCTATTTTGTTGTACTGACATCACATCACTGACATGGTGCAGAATATACTTAACAGTACCTATCTAACCACTCATCAGTAGCGAGTATGATTGATTTTCATTAAAAAACAATCCTCATGTGTAGTTAAATGTTAATCAGTATTAGTTCTAGAATCGATAATTTATCTACTAATATGAAAATTATATCTCAATTAGGGAATCGAATTGCAAAACTTTAGGCTTATATTAAGTAATACAAAATTAAAACTGCATTCAATGCAAAGCTTGCAGATGAAATATCCTCTCTTCTTTTAAAAAAATAGACGCCATAGGATTGAATAATTTGGTGTTGAAGTAACAATATCATTAATATCAGTAGTCATCCAAATTTGGGTGATCATATAACTGATCTCTCAAGCTGAACATCTCTCATTTTGCCAATACATTTTTTATCACTTAANTTTTTTTTTTAGCTACGCTTATAAGTAATATATGACTAATACAAACATATTTGTGCGCCGCTGGGATGAAAATGACCAATATCTCGTATCTCGAGTGATCACTCGATTATTAGAAGTACTCGATTATCAAAATTGGTCGATTATGCCCATCACTATTAATAATAGAGAAGGAATTAAGTTTAGGCGACATGTAACCTATACGTATGTCAAGCCTTGTTTATTATTGCTTTTCAATGGCTACTAGCACAAAGCATTGCTTTGTATCTTATGGCCCTATTGACTTGACAGACTAATTTGTAGATATTATGAATGCATTTTTTTTTTCCAAATAGAATACATTATTTAAACTTAACCCTTTAGGCGCGGGCATCAATTTCTCTTGAGCTGACAATGAATTTTAAGTTTTATACGTGTTGGGTATTTAACCCGACGTGCATAAACCGTTTTTTCCAAAATTTCATCAATTTAATTTCTAAATTTTGCCCAATAAGGGCAGTCTATCCTGTCTGGGAATAATTTACTTTTGTCGCACTACACGAAATAAACTTTTTAAACTAACGATACTGTGGGAAATAACTACCCTGTGGCCTACATACTCTGTCCAGCATTGAATTAAACACACCACACTTATTAAACAGCTGAGATCATTTGTACCGACAAAGGAGGACCACCTCTCCCTTATTGTTTATTGATGAGAACTAATAAGTTAATGGATATTGTAGGGGTAACTCAATGTTGGACAAAGATTGTAGTCCGCGGAGTAGTTGTTCCACTCAACATCATTCCTATTTACTATTAGAGATTTTTGTATATTATAAGTAGTAATAAATTGTGTATTTGAATAAAATTTGATAAAGATTATCTATTTAGCTTCGCAAGACCATAATCAAGATGTTTGATTTAATGTTATTTGTTACCCTGACTTTCAAATGTATTACACAGTGATATTTCGATTTATGTAGATGGTACATGTCTGTTCAGAATTGATTGCATCTTTTTTGGCTAGATCATCCCTACTGAAAAAAATGTTTAGTGAAACTTATAAAGTGATTATTTTAATCAATTATATGTAAACAGGTATTTTTGAAAGCTGTTTATAAAGACTTGACAAATATTAAACAGGGTGTTAGAAGTTTGACTGCCAGACGATAGAATACATTAAAATAAACCTTATATGACATGGGTCTTAAAGTCAACCATTTCCGAGAAAAAAATTATCAAAATCTCCAACTTGATGTATAAAAGTTCGATTAATTAAGAAATATTGACATAACTGCGTGCACATAATACCATAAAATACAATGTTTATCACTTTTTTTTAACTTCTTTATACGTAATTCTAAAAAATAATTAGCGTTGTAATAAATTTAAAATTCGATAAACCAAATTTCACATTGCTGCACTACACTGCAAGCCAATTTGTCTACAACTGAAATTTATGGCCGGTCACTCGCCCAGTCCGGCTGTGTTTAGTCGCCGTTTGCCCGCGCGCGCATTCTTCAACTGGGCGATCAGACCTAACATATATATGGGTATGGGGTATGGCTACATAAATATGGGAACAAGTTTTTTAAATATTTCAATGCTGAGTTGCCGCGTAGCGACCGAACCTGGTACATACCGCCTATCTCTTTGGTCTTCAATTGAGATCGGAAAGACTATACCTATTTTGTTGTATTGACATCACATCACTGACATGGTGCAGAATATACTTAACAGTACCTATCTAACCACTCATCAGTAGCGAGTATGATTGATTTTCATTAAAAAACAATCCTCATCGGTAGTTAAATGTTAATCAGTATTAGTTCTAGAATCGATAATTTATCTACTAATATGAAAATTATATCTCAATTAGGGAATCGAATTGCAAAACTTTAGGCTTATATTAAGTAATACAAAATTAAAACTGCATTCAATGCAAAGCTTGCAGATGAAATATCCTCTCTTCTTTTAAAAAAATAGACGCCATAGGATTGAATAATTTGGTGTTGAAGTAATAATATCATTAATATCAGTAGTCATCCAAATTTGGGTGATCATAAAACTGTTCTCTCAAGCTGAACATTTCTCATTTTGCCAATATATTTTTTATCACTTAATAATCTTTTTTATCGAAGTGTATATATATGAATGATTAAGCTAAGGAATTTCATTTTTTTATTGAAATTCCGGGAAAACTAATTAAGATGTAGCTAACACAAAACCTTTACAAAATAGTTTCAAGTTCGGTTTCAAGTGTGCAAGAAGAGCACCAGAAGAAGAGGCCCTAGCCGGCTGGGCCCAGCCAGGACAAAAGGAGGTCCCACAAAGCGCCTACACCGGCCGCATTTGCGGTCGGGGTAAACGACGAATGGGGCCCACCTACGAAGGCTGTCCAGGCCTACACGAGATGAGGCAGGATAAAGAGGGATAATCCCCCTCAATCCCAAATAATTGAGGCCAATTTCTAGCCATGGAATAATGGCGCGGCGCGGTTTCAAGTGTGTATATTAAAACCGGCGTGAAATCATCCACAACCACACTTTTAGGTAGGAGTATAATCGATAAAGTTGTGGCCATAAAAAGAAGTCGTGATTTACTCAAGTTTTCTAAATAATTCATATACGATATACCGCTGATCACAGAATATTAAAAACGTGGAAAATTAAAAACTACACCACCATTTTTACTTTCCAGGCCGTCAGGGATGGTGAAAAGGGGTGGAATTGAAAAAATTCAAAATATTCCAAATAAAAAAACTATTTCTTGAACTGTCACCATATTCGCAGAGAATGTTAAAAATAAGTATTTTAAAAGATCCCACCCACCCGTAACATTTTCCAGGCCATCAAATAAAAAAATTATTTCTTGAACTGTCGGCGCGGCAGATAACACGAGGTATTAAGCTGTCCAGCAACCAGCAATACACAATTCTGTTGGTATCTGGAATTGGACCGTATCTGAGTGTTTTTTGCATACCACTATTTCCTTTTCTTAAGGTGTTTTCCAGCGAGTGCGCGAAAATTAGATTCGAAGGTGTGTGTGTGTGTGCATCGAAAATGGTGGTGGACATTTTGAGGATATGTTGTAGTTTGTTTTGTACTTGTGTGTTTAAAAATTGCTGAGTTTTGCTCTTTGGTAAGTCCCTAAATTATTTTGAATATGTATGATTATTTGGATGACGTGAATCTTTGGATACTTTAATTACATGTTTTTCAAATTCATAATATGTTGTGATGAAACTCCCCAATATTAATACTCGCTGTATTTTGAAAACTGTTAATCTTACGCCCCTGTAATAACGTATTTGGTAAAGCCACTCTAGAATTTTGAAAAAATTCGATATTTGTATAAACGGTTTAAGCAATATTTTATTATGTCAAGAATACAGGAAAAAACCGATATTTGTATAAACGATTTATGCGATATTTTATTATGTCAAGAATACAGGAATAAATTTAGTTAAGGAAAAAATCGGGAATACGAGTTACAATAAAGCATTTTTGTTCCTGACACTGTGTTGTATCGATTATTCCTTGAAAATTCTTGAAAATCACTTTTTTCCAATCTCTCGAGTGGCATTACCTGTAAGTGCCTGAAAATTGAAAAACTGAAAGAACTGTAAGTGTTTTTTGGTAAAATAATTGCAGAAGAAATTTTTTAAAACTTCTTATAAAGGTTTTTTTAGTATTGCCTGTAAAACTGAGACACTGAGAGAAATGTTTATTCAAAATTATGAAATTTTTTATTTGAATTGAATATTTCCGCAGAAGAAATAATGCTTCTTAAAACTTTTCTTAATGATTTGACAAATATTAAATATAATCTAAATGGCTGTAAAATTTTTAGTAGCATAATATCGATAAAATAAATAAAACAACTTCCTTATTAAAACACATTTATTGATTTCATTTCTTAGTCACCAGGTACAATTTAAACTGTTGTGACTAATTCACTTTTTAGAAAAAAATATAATGAACTATTCAATGAAGGAAATACTGTACTAAAATGCATAAAGTCTCTATATGTACAATACACAAAAAAACACTAGCTTTTGATCATGATTCATGTAAAAAAAAATCTGCTGCAGTCCATAAAGAGTTTGAGCACTACATTTCAAATACACCTGACTTTAAATATACAGTTTCGATTTATTAAAAAAAAGTATTCACATAATACAAAAATCGCATATGAACACTTTCATTTAAGTTATATAATTTTCTAATTTGATATCTATACATTTTACATAATCAATTAATTAGTAAAAAACTAACAATTAACAATACTATTTACAAAAAATAATAATAATAATAATAATAAGTAATAACCACTGCCCATAATAAATTTATAGGAACTGCATAAAACAGTTTTATAAAAACATTTCGCTATTTATAAGAATATACAAATTAAAAGAATTGCTCTAGTTTGTGGCACAGTTTGTCGCTTAACAATTATTTTTAAAATTTTTGGCATCTTAGAAAGTAGGTTTCCATGTCTTTTATTTACACTTAGTCAATTAGTTTTTTATATTTAAACCAACATTTTACAAATTGTTCATATCAATTAAGCTTAAAAGAAATGATTCAGTATGAATTTAAATTTGAGTCAAGTTTAGTGACACAAGTTTAATATTGCATGACTCAAATTCAAAATTACTTAACTGGACTTTAAGAACAATATGACTTATGATTAAAGATTCTTAGTTCAAACTACTCGCAAAAAACCAGAATCTAAAAAAAATAGTCAACACACTTCTCAATTTTTTTTAGTTGAGTGAAACATATAAAAAATTATTCAAATTGAGTTTAAAATTGTCAAATTTGATGACTTGCATTTAAAACTACATGTTTAAAAGATTTTTCAAACTGTTTTTATTTTATAAAACAAGAAAGGGAAAAGACATTATTATATACAAGAATATAGAAAGAATGAAATGTAAAAAAAATATTCATCAGCTTTCTGTATTCAATATATTTTTTCAATTGAATTTAGACCTAAGAAATTCGAGTTTAAATCTGAGTCAAATATGATTTCAAGTTTAAAACTAAATGACTCGAATTTAAAATTAGACAACTGGAGCATAAGAATGAATGTCTCATATTTGGGAAACTGGAGTTTGAAACTAGGTGTCTCATATTTGGGGACGGTTCTAAAAACAAAAAGTTGTGATTTTTAAAAATTGAGAAACAAGGTTGAAATAAAATAGTGAATTAGTTCTTTGTATTTAAATCATTTCTCGATTTTTTTTAACTGGTTACTTATAAGAAATTTTTCGATACGGTTTTAAATGCGAGTCAAGTTTGATGACTTGAGTTTAAAATTACATGACTCAAATTTAAAATTGAAACTGGAGTTTGAAACTAGGTATCGCATATTTGGGGACGGTTTATAAAACAAATAGTTGATTTTAAAAAATTGAGAACCATAAGGTTGAAAAAAAAGGCAATTAGTTCTCTGCGTTTAAATAATTTCTCAATTTTTTTTAAATGGTTATAAAAAATTTCTCAAATGGATTTAAATGTGAGTCAAGTTTGATGAAGAGTTTAAAATTACGTGACTCAAATTTAAAATTGAAACTGGACTTTGAAACTAGGTATCTCATATTTGGGGACGGTTCTTAAAACAAATAGTTGCGATTTTTAATAATTGAGAATAATAAGCTTGAACCAAAAGTCAATTAGTTATCTGTGTTTAAAGCATTTCTCATTTTTTTTAAATGGTTACTTATAAGAAATTTCTCAATACGATTTTAAGTCTGAGTCAAGTTTGATGACGAGTTTAAAATTACATGACTCAAATTTAAAATTGAAACTGGAGTTTGAAACTAGGTGTTTCATATTTGGAGATGGTTCTTAAAACGAAAAGCTGTGATTTTTAAAAATTGAGAACCATAAAGTTGTGACAAAAGTCAATTAGTTATCTGCGTTTAAACGTTTCTCAATTTTTCTTAAATTGTTACTTATAAGAAATTTCTCAATACGGATTTAAATCGGAGTCAAGTATGATGACTCGAGTTTAAAATTAGATGTCTCATGTTTAAAGATACCTGGTCTATATTATTTTAATAAATAAAAATACGAAAACTAAGGTAAGAATTATCCAATTAGATATTGGTTTGTTGAATTATTTGTTGTTTCTTTTAGTTTGAACTTAATCTAAAAGGAAACAGATCGTGTTTGGAACCTAGAAATACTTTTTTTTTTTGTAAAACTAAGGTACAAAAATAATGATTAAGCCACAAAATGTGTAAGCCGTTTCTTTTATAATATCTATGTAAACACTTCTCGGTTTGGAGTTTTTAAGATCACAGAATCCACATACAGATACACACAAACACATACGCACAACGTCTCTTGTCACTATAGAATCCTCAATCACTTCTAGGTTTATATATTATTTCTATTTTAATAAATAATTTTAAAATAACCATGTCTATCAGTCGCTTGAAATGATCTAGGAGAGAAGGACCTTAAATCCATTACGGTATGGATTCCCTGTAGTAGGGGTTAACGCCTTTGATGGGTAGCGGGTGTGCCTCGGTATTGAACACCCACTCGTCCAGGGAGATCAGGCTGTCGTCGGAGAAGAGGAGGTACAAATACTGAAAAAAATATATCATTTTAATGTTCTTTCTTGAAGTTTTCTGAAGGTAACATTAGACATGACGTTTTGGTTTTGGGGTCATCATCGGTTTCAATTGTTAAGGATTTAAAAATACAAGCATTCTGAGAATACAACAGTGTTTTTTTGGTGAAAATTTACTTACTTTTAATGTTTCAGCCAGGAAGAAACTCTGTTGAACATCGTCTTGCTGCGGGTCTTCAGAATAAACATTTTTCAGTCCAGTATATCCACCAGGTACCCTACAGTATTTTTCTAGAGCCTAGACAAGGAAAATACAGGATAAAGTTACAATTTCAAAAAAAAAATTAAGTTAGGTTAAAATAAATAAAAATATTTACTAATCCGATATTTCAAGTATTTAATAAAATGCATTTGTTACTATTCTTTTAAAGCACTGTGTTTAGTTTGTGACTCTCAATGTCAATGACCTTCAATATTGTCCTAGCTTAGGTGAACTACATAATATCAATCCACCTGATGAGACACGACAACATGGCTTTAGGTGAACAAAAAACAAAAGGCCAATGTTAATTGTGTGAAATAAAAATGGTCAAATGTAGTGTGCAAAGCTACTTATTTCTATATTTAGTGAGAGTTCAGTGTGTTTGTGTGTCACCATTATCAAATTTCTGTGCGATAGTAAGAAGAGACATGTACAAGACCAAGAAAGATAAGATAAAGCTAAGAGAGCTAGACAGTTTATCTTATGAATAAAACAAACAAATTTAGATACCTGGACAGCTTCCCATCCCCATTCCCTATACTTGGGGTCCTTGGTGATGCGGTACATGATGAAGTAGGACTCTATCACTTCTGGCCTTAGAATGTAGTACTTCTCTGAGCTCTTCAAGGCTCTGGCTTCTGCCCCTTCTGTAAATCTAAAGGCTTCAGGTCCCAGCTTGGTGTACGATCGATCGTAAGATTCATGGCAAGTTTTCGAGATCTGCTCTGCCACCTCCATGTATTTTGGAGACAGTTCATTTTTTAGAGTCTTGGCAGCCAAACCAAGAAGACCACCTGAAAATATTCATAATAGGTTAGCAAGTCTATCGTACAATCCGGGGTACCAGTTTGTTTAAAAAATTCAAAATAGAAATTATAATTAAAACACTTCAGACATTTTTTTTTGTAATTGAAAAAAAAAATTCTTTGGTGCATCAAAAAAGGATACTTTTGACAAAATTGAACCGTTTTTTAGAAGAACGCAATTTAATGTTCCAAAGTCAACTAACATTTATTCCTTAATATATAGGGTGTTCGGAAACGAAGTTATCTGTATATTAAGCACAGAAGCTATTCGACTTTGAGTCAGTCATTCAAGTTTTTCTCAAAAAACTGTGGGTTTTTAATAAAACTATGTACATTTTTGTAACAGCGTAAAATAAAATTTTACCCCGTTCCAAGATATACACATAAAAAACTTAACCTCAAAAAGTTATGTCCTACTCCTAATCTTAACATGAGTGATTCCTTACCCGAGAAGCAGCTAAGATGGTCCATCTTGTGTTCAGGCCTGTCGAATTTAAGTTCAGCGAAATACATCAATCCGCTAGGTGAAGTGCGCAACATATGAAGGAACACCGCTTGCATGGCGTCATCGAACATCTGACGAGCCTCATTGTCTTCCTTGTTGGTCTGCAACCAGGCTTTTAGCAGGTATTCGTAAAAACTGTCACCCAGAGCGCCCATAGACATATGGTCTGCAAATAAAGGTATTTTTAATGAGATGCTCCATTTGAAAGTATCAAAAAAAATTTTTTTTGGGTATATAGTGGTTTGGTCTTAAAGTGAGGAGAAAAACTCTAAGTAGCATGGAAAACTTTATTCTGCTAATTTCGCTGGTAACACGAGACACAACCGAGTAGGAACTAGGCTTCAAGACTTCTGGTGGTGCCTCGAAATGTTTTCGGTTTTTATCCTTGTCCCCAGGTACCTACTTTTATTACCCTATCCTAATTAACACTTATCCGGGTCATTACCTACTCGGTTTGTGCTTATGTACCCTAATAAACAACAACTAATTTATGTTTACAGCCTACTTATTCTAATCTCATTTGCTAAATACATTTATTTGGGATAATCTCGGATAATTCAGAGTATAATTTATATGGCTCCTAAATTCCCAGAAAAAAAATATATTTATTGGGGCAGGTACTAAATGTAATTGTAGCGTACCGCTACAGGCAATATATTATACAATAGTCAAAGGCTACTTACGCTGTCCCCATTTGCCGGTTTTCGGATTCAGATAGTTGGGGTACAGACCATTGGGCTTGTCCATTTCACGCAGAATTTTTCTGATGTGGTCTACCTTGTTCCGATAGACAGACTTACCGGTAACGTCACTCAAATAGGCCATTTCGAGATGGAGGGTACCGAATTCGGACAATATACTGGAACCCCCGCTGGCCCATCCGTAATTTTTGCTAAACTGAAAATTTTTAGAGAATGTTTAGTACTTCATTGAATATTAATGATTTTCACATATTATTGGACAACTTGTTGATAAAACTATTTAGATGTCATTGAAGTTTACCATTTAAATCTTTCATTTATACAGTTAAGACATGCAGTATTAAAAAGTATTCAGAACTGTTGTTTTTTCTGTGAACAAATATTGATGATTACTTTGTCTACGTAAATCTATTTAAATACTGTAATTTTAAACTTTGAATTAATAACAGAACATAAATTATCGACATTAAAGGACTGTGGGCTAATAATGTAACATAAATTATAACTGATTTAACCTAAGAGTATGCAGTAGCCATTGTTAATAAACAGCTTCAAACCCACTGCTTATTACTACAACAGTCAAACACGTTTATCTGAAACACACATCTTTCTGCTTAACTGATCCCAATCTATCAAAAGGAGGATGAGTTATTCTTTAATATCACATCCACGTTGATGCTTCTAAAAATAAATCTGTCTCCGTTTCATTAAAACACAACACCATGAAATTTTAATAAGGGCATGGGCGAAAACGTCCAATAATTCACTTAAATCGCCGGCAATTAATTAATCAATCGACTTACCCCGGTCTTGAAGTTGACTAGAGCGTTGGGAATCCCCGTAGGAGTGTCGAAGGCTGGCAATAGCTTGTCGGCGATTTGCTGGGCTTTGTCACGGAAAACCACGTCCCCTGTCAACGCGAAACAAGCCAGCAATCCACCCACGAATCTGATGTTCACCTCGAATACGGACACATCGGAAGTCTGTAAAATGCAACAAATTCATTTATAGAAGCTTTTCATTAAACAGTTTATTTGGCTAGACATTGTAAACCTGATAATTTCGCTTCGCTAATTTTTTAAATAATGATATTGTAGGAACCAATAACTACTCTGCGGACTACAGCCCCGACCAGCACTGCAGTATTCAGCTAAGATCATTCATCATTTGTTAAGATATGACATTCTTTTAATAGTCATTAAAAAGGTTAAAGAAATTTAAACGCATAATATCAAAATTTTTGGTCTGATAGTAGAAGCGTAACATATATATCTGTTGTGGATTTATTGCTTTGTTCAAAATGTATGGGTATCGGTAGTTGAAATGGGCTAGACAAAAATGACTCAGATCCTTAGTTTTAAAACCTCATCGTTCAGCATTCCACCGAGTGTGTTGTCATTGAAGAATTCCTGACTTGTCTCAATGCCCCTATTTTAGATGACTGATATAGTCTTGTCGTTATCTGTAGGTCGCATTTTAGATAATTTAATGAGATGGAAAAATTTCCAAATCATTTGTACTCTACCTGGAATTTCAAGCTAGTTTCACATATCGACAATCATCACTTTGTCGATATTTATTAGTTCGATAAGTTTTAATAAGTTCAAAAAACAGAGTAGCAATAATACAGTAAGAGATTCGTGAAAAGTGAAAAAATATTGCAATACAGTTTAATATTTCCAAAACTTGTTACAAAACAGTTTTATAACTTTTTTAAAGTCAAATTTCCTAACGTTTTTATGTAAAAAGCGCTCAGATACTTAACCGTATTAATTGTACCGGAAAATTACCAAAGGCAAAAACTGGGAACACACGCTGGTAGTAGTAAACTGCGAGGGAAAGTTGTAGACTACACGTTTAAAATTGCAGATTCGAAATTGCTTTATTATGTTGTTGTGTGTGCTTGGATCCGTGCCAAAAGGTAAAAGACCTCGAAAGCGTAGCCCTGGGTTTGTATATATTCCGTGGCCCTGGTTTGTGCATTATTCATAAATTTCTTTCACGTTAGATGTGTTTTTAAGAGGTATATACTGCGGCATTCAACATTAAGTGCCGTCAATTAATTCACTACGGTTATGAAGAAAGCTTTGTTAAATCCTCAATTCCCCATTTTCAATAAAGACTAATTATACTTCTCAAAAACTTTACTTGGATGCCTTTCTAGGCAATTCTATTGTTTAGAATAGCTATTTATATAACTTTGAGAGTAGAAATTACTACTAATAGTGAAGATAAAATAATTGCAAGCATGACCTAATAAAAATTGTGGTTATTTAAAATTAATTTACACACTTGCAATGGTTTGTTACAAACGAAAAATGTAAACGAATTAAACATACGTAATATTAAGTTGTGTATTGTTTCGTATTCTTTTGTATAATTTTCTTTTAACGATGTATTTTTACTTTTTACGTTGTATTGTTCCATTTTAAAATGTAGTACGTAAATCTTTTACGTGATTTTACTATATTTGATGTAAATATATGAAAATAAGTGTAAATTTATACTCGTTACGATTTTTTAGATTTCTCGTGTGTACAGGAATTTTAGATTGATTTGTTGCGTCATTATCAATTGTTGGAGTAAGGCAAGATTAATTAAGGAGATATATCGGGTTTATTCAAATGCAGAGATGTACTTGAAATTTATATAGTATATTACCCAGTGCTCCCTCTGTGCGTCATATTTTTTTGAATTTTTTTTTAATCCAGATTTTGAGATATTGTTGTTGAAAGTTGTTCATTTTAACATAGGTTTATATGGCGAAGATGGACTGTGCGGCTTTTTTTTGCCCATAACTGAGAAAAAAATGTAGAAATTGTGAAACTAAACTTTTCCATAGATAGTACACACAGTATTATCTTATTTTTGATGTAAAACTAATGTTAAGTTTTGATATTAATTAGAAACAGAAACCAATAATTACATTTCTGTCTGACTTGAGAATTAATGTGGCAACGTCGCAATCAGCAAGGAGGGAATACATTTGAAAGACTTGATTAAAACGAAATTGATTTCAAACATATACATTTTTCCTAAATCCCATGTACATTGTTATCAACAATAAATTATCCACAACAGATGATTTTTTGTAATGTTTTTAAAAAACTAGATTAATTAAAAAAGACCAGGAAGCTGTGATATATTTATTGAAATAAAAAATACAGTTGATAAATCCTTTTAATATAATGGTTTATAAAAACATCGTAATCATTACCCAGCAATATTTAGGGTTACATAAAGTTTTCTTTACTTGATTAATATAATTAGTAATACTTGAGATAAAAGCATTTGTACGGAATAACAAAGGAACATAAATATTTCTCAGCAAACTTTATATCTAAACAATTAGTTATAGTTGCAAAACTTTTGTAACATTAGTAAAATAGAAAAACACGAACAGTGAGTAATACTGTAATTTCTATCACAGAACCTTTAAAATTGCATCCAACATTTTCTTCGACTTGGACGTCATTTCATTTATTTAGAACTAAATTAACATAATTCTCGTTGTTTTACCAGTTCACATGATTTACGGATTTTAAATAGAAGATACAAATCTTCGCAAGGATAGTAAGATATATTTGCTATATATAATAATTATATTGCACATAGTTTACACACAATACATTTTTGAACGCGTACGCATCTTTACCCGAATTTGACGAGCAATATCTCCGATGTCCGAGGTCTGTAGGTTCGCAGTGTGTAGAACTGCTAGTCAATTATTAGCGCTGTTGCCACATCTACGTAGTCTTTATGCGTTCATTAAATATAATTTAAAACTACTTAAATATGATATTTTTATGTTGTTAATGAGGCAATATGTATGCTATGTGCATATGAGTGGATTTCTTTGCTATATAGATAATGTTTAACGCAAATAATTTCAATAGAATTTAATTTTTTCAAATTGGCAGCAGGCTCCTCACTTCCTTCGGATCATTAAATCGACTTATTTTGAGCCGTACTATATCTGGTGGAGTGTTGTACAGACCCTTCAGAGACACCCCGTATTGGCTTAAAAAAGTACTATATCATTGAAAACAGGATACCGCTTTCTCCGTGTAATAAATTACAAAAAAGGGAATGTGGAAGATTCTTACTTTTTCTAAAGGGAGGCAGTTAATACACTTTGATGCACGCCTCAACCGTTTCAGTGTTTATTTCTCCACTTTGATCGATTCCTGGGCGAATAAGGACCGACTTGCCCGAAAAATTTACGGCCCACCCGTCAGGTCCACTTAGTGCCGGCATAATTTTCCTCGGCAAAAAGTGCCGGAAAAGTACGCAAACTGCAACAATCTAGCACGCGGCTAACTGCCTGGAAAATATGCTCGGTAGAGCGGTGCAACTGGAAAATTAGATGCACGAGTTTGCATGCAGTTTGCTGCAGCGGAAAATGCTTCAGGAACGGCGTACGTTAGAGTAGAAAATGTCAGTTGGTTTCCCATATTCTGCGGAATATTAAAGCGTAAAAGAAAGGTTGGTGACATTGTTACAGCTATAAACGCCAAAATCAAAGTAAATTAACTGTTTTTGTTCTTAGCTAGCCACTTTGGATTGAAATGGGTACGAGATTCAGCCATGATGTATTAATGAATACGTTTCTGCATTTTATATATTGCTATTTCAAGTGGATTCCTGCTAAAAATTGAATTAGTAGTTAGGCATTTGAATATTGTCTGCCAGTATTAAATTATATGTAAAATCTAAACTTTAAAGCGTTTGTATCTCTTCAGACGATGAAACAGCTATGCGTCCTCAACTGGCAGAAGATATGGGCAACATTCCTTACTAGAATTACAGAAATACATATATTATATTGTATTCCTACATTAAATAGTTTTTACCGGATGCATATAATTAAGTCAGCTTTCTTATCTATTATAAAAATAACAGGCACAATCTAGCAGCTTTTCCGTCGACATCCAATTGGACTTCGAGTTTTGTCAAAGATGGATGCATTCATTATAATAATGTTCTTTGTGATGACACAAAAGAGAATTTTCTTTTATAGATTTGGAGTGATTTAGTCTAATAAAAATGTATGTATGCCTCTAGAATTTTTCTAGAATGCGAGTAGAAGTCGTCAACAGATGATCGTAGACAAAAACTTTGACTATTGGTCAAGGACAAAAGTCAGTTATTTTGCTCCAATTTCTAACAAGTACAGGTACATACCGTAATTGAAGTTTCTGGTGTACGAAGAGGATAAGTAACAATGCGAATACCGTAAGAGGTAAAATAAGTACATTTGCATTTGAATCAGAGTGAAACAATCGTATAAATAATGAAGATATGAAATGTAAAAGGTGGATAAACACAATTTTTAGTTACGTACTTACAAATATGTATTAGTAAATAAAGTAATATTTAAGACAAACAAACGGCGAAAACAAATACTATATACACTAGTTACGAAAATTAAAGCACAACACATTTTTTTGGTGATTTTCAAAAGCCAAAAGGTCATTTTTGCTTTAAACGACAACTTAGCGACAAATCATGAAGATGAATCACATTAAAAGAACTGACGGGTGGTATTGCCAAAAATAAATTATCGAAGCTCGTGGAACTTTCGAAAAGGAGGCAAAAATTTGGATTTTTTTTCCCTGTATTATTTCTTATGATTTCCTAAAAGTGATCAACGATAAAAATTTTTAACTTACAGATCATGAAATTATAAACCAACAACTACCAACAGCTGTTTATTTTATTGCTCTACGACCATTTTTCGCCAGTTTATAGCCTTTTGAAAACCATCTAAAAATTTAGGATTTTTTATCCTTTAACTTTTGTGACTAGTTTATATGTTATCCGTTACTGAAGAGAGTAAGCAAGTTTTGCCCACGCTATATCAATCTCTTCCATGCTGTAACTCTATCACAGACAATATATGCGCGTCGACAGGATGATTTAGACATTGCAGCGCGCTCGAGCATTATGCAAAATCCCCATTCTGACTCATAACAAATTTAATTTTGCGCTACGAGGAAGTTAATGCAGATAACGGATTTGATTAAAGTAATTGTGTTGATAAATCGTTCAACAAATTGAAATCCTCTGTTGCGGCAAATAATAGGCGATGTGCTTGTTGATTGGAAACTTTAGTGAAATTGACAAAATCGAAGTTTTTTCGAAATTACTCAAAGCTGATCTAACATTAGTTTAGGTTAGTATTATTTAAGTAATTTGTGCCTATTTCCTGCATATTAATAATGTTTGCAAAATAATATTTTTATATTTTACCTTTGCCTTTTAAATTTTGTCTGTTAAACTGTGATTATGTATGCTATCTGAAATCACAAAAATAATCTAGATAATTTTGTGTATAAGTGGTTTCATTATCACCTAGGATATAAACGATTGCAATGAAATAAATACATGTTTATTGTATTGCCGACTTGGTTGAATGACGAATAAAAAAAACTACACAAATATTTCGAATTTTAGGTTTTTTGCTTAAATGGAGTTGCTAAGCCTTTTGTCGCACCTTTTTATATTTTTTTATGTAAAACAAAGTTTAAAAACAAAAACCCACAGTAATGTTGGATGTTTAGTAGATTTTAATATACTAAATAACGCACAAAATTAAGGTTAAATAAAAATAATAATTGTGATTGTGGCTATCTAACATGTACATAAATCATTATTTGAAACACAATTTAATTTTCTTTTATTTAAACTACTTTTAACAGTTTTTGAGTATCCCATCTTTTTAAAACAATATAAATATTCGAAATTATGATTTGTACAGGGTGAATATTTATATTTTACATGTCAAAAATTTTGTTTTTTTCAAATGAAACAGCCTGCTGTATTTTTTATGAAAATATCCTAGGGAGGCATTGATATGGTAGTGAAACAAAAAAAAAATTTTTCTAACTGTCAATAGTTTTTCCTGTTTTTAGCTTTGACTGTTGAAGTAGCGTTTTTCTGTGATTCAAATAATTATTCTCAATTAATTAATATTGTTTGTATGGTTTTGTGTTACTTGTTCGTAATGAATTTCTCAAGAGAAGAAGCCGAGCTTATCTTGATGAAATTTATCCTGATAGATGGATTGGTCGAGGTGAGCCACTGCCATGACCTCCTAGATCATGTGACCTTACACCATTTGACTTTTCTTTATGGGGTTTGTAAAAGACAGGGTATATAGAGAGACACCAACTACTCGTGACGATATGATAAACAGAATAAGACAAGCTTATCTTGATATCACATTAACATCTCTCCTCGAATTAACTTGTGCATTTGAGAAAGAAAAAAATGAAAAATAAAGAAATTGCCAAAAATATCGTAAAATATGAGGAACTGATATATAACACCTATTATGAAAGTTGTAGATTTTGGGAAGGTCTTTCACATCCAGTTAAAAAATACAGACTGTTCCATTTGAAAAAAACAAACTTTTTGTCTTTGAAAAAGATAACATTTATTACGATTTTGTGAACACCCTGTAGAACATTTATAATATAATAATTTATGTATGACGATTGCTTAGACTGTATCTCAAAAAACGAGTATATCAGCAACGATCAAGTGTAACGCCGAAAATGTCATTTTTTATATTAAAATATTAATATCTCGGAAAAGGCTGACTTTTGACACATAGTACCCATTACTCAGATACAGGGTGTTGTACGCGGGAGTTAATCAATGGCTCCATCTGTCGTGCAGACTCCCAACAGTGCCATTCAAATGGCTACAGTAGGAAGCGACCCGCTATATTGCAGGTACTTTGTTGCACTACTGCCGCCCACAGAGGGCGTAACACAATGTTTTAGTCGTCAGTGCCGCGAGAAACAACTACTCCGAGGGCTATTTGCCCCTACCGGCATTGAATTATACTCGCGACAACTAGTACAACAGCTAGGGTCGTTTGTAAGTTTAACCCACCAGGCACAGACCGGTTTCGGACTTATTAGTCCGAAACATAACGTTTGAACAGGTTGAACGTAATTATTGCAAAAATGATTAAATAAAGCTAACAATGGTATATTGGACCATATGCAACATATGGTAAGGACGATTTACATACACGTACATTTTTAAGGAATAGTTTTCTTCTGTTGCTCTTTGTATTCCAATTTTACCTTAATTTACAGTTGGCACTGCTATGATTCATACATTAGACATTAGGACTAATCATGCAAGTCTTACCATGGCTCCTAGATCGAATTCGTTGGCGACCCAGTCCCTGGCCTGTTTGAATTCGTCCTTCATGCCCATTATATAAAGGGTGTCAAGCCCGTCCAGGATGGTCGCCCCCAGGGGCATGTTGCCGAAGATGCTCGCCCCGTGGCCACGTTTGCTGATCGGCTTCAGTTCGTTTTTACCCCAGGCGTAGCGGACGTAGTTATCCCAAGCATGTTTCATCATCTGAAAAAAAAAAGAATATCAGTTAATAACGTATGCAACTGATTTAGTTTTTTTAACGTGTGAGCTGAATCTCGCTCTTAACAAAACAGACAAGATAACTTTAATTGAAAATATATTTAAATCGTTACAATTTACAATTAATAGTGGTTTATGAGTTAGAGATTGGTTTTGGTAAAAGAAGCTGACTGTTAAAAATGTACCTTAGTCTTTTTTTTTTGTTCACGTAAAAATTTGTTGTTTCTTAACTGTCACTCTTAAAATTATTTTGTGTTTAGGAATTAGACTAGTGCGGGTAACACTGAATTAATAGATTGTTATTAGTGGTCAGTGTTTTATTACAACGAAGTATAATTACAGTAATCACGAATTGATGTAGACAAAATGCTGCAACCGCAGAACGAATTTACATTGTTTATATCAAAGCCGAGGAAGTAATACTGAGTTTGGAAGATGATACAATTTTAAGTGGCTACGAATATAATTTTACTTCCGTCTCCGACTTCAGCAGTTTTCATTATAACCGCATGAAACGAAAATGCCATAGGAATGACCATATTATTAAGGATATTGAAATTTCACCATTCTTGATCAAATTTAAGAAAAAAGCAATTTTTCTTCTGTATATTTGGAATTTCTATTACTTACGTATTTACTCATTTACATTATACTTATAAGTGATATGTTGTCTTTATCAATAATCAAGATTGGCACAATTGTGTAACGTATGAATAGTTAAATAATATGTTTTCTATTTATGTATCATTTTACAACTTTATAAACAATAACCAGAAACTATTAAAATGAAGCGGGTTATAAAATGTTTGTTACATTATCTACTTATAATATACACATGTTTTTATTTGAGTAAAGCAATAATAGAAAAACATACGCGCAATTTGTTTCGACATTTGTACAATGACTCAATATTTATAAATCTTTTAGTTAATAATATTCGTACCACTGAGGAACTCGATTATTTGTTCATTGGTTCTTACTTTACTTCCAAGGTATTAGGCTAATTTACGTCTGCTAAAGATACCTAACTTCATAGACAAGTAAGTTATTTACAATAATTCCAAATAAAAAATGATTTTCCTAAAAACCTACTATTAACGAAAAAACAGATACTTGTGGCACGCCAGAGCCGGCATTAGGGTGCCGCCAGATAAATGGAATAAATTGATCGATGCGAAGCTTCAGATCGAAAGCAGACAAGGGGCCTCCTTTTTAAATGGAATATTAACATAACTAAATTATATACAAAATAAAAAAAAATAGAACAAAAAATTGAATCGCCAAAGTCAAAAGCGTCAAATATTTCTAGATTAATGTGACCATCATGTACCTTTTTTTCAGTAATAAATATTTGTCTTTATTACCATATTTTTTAAATTTATTCGTCAACGGTGATTTTACAAGGTGAACAACAAGGGAAATTTCTTAGAAATTTTATATTGTTTATATTTCCATATTCTATGTAATTTTTTTCCTTGATTTTTTTATTAATAATATTTGAAGTGGTTTATGACTAAAGTTCGGGGTTTTCGCCGGCTAGTCATAGGCGTATTCGTCGTAAAGAAATAAATAAACAGGTAGGTATAAACGGGATAATCTAAGGAATTTTAGGAACTACCCAAAATCAATCACCCTATGGTAACTCAAAGAAAGCGCCCGAAAAATTGTGCAAATAAATTGTTGTTTCCAACATAAAGCCCAATACGCCCCCCCCCCCCCCGCAAAAAAATACGGTACTTTTTAAATGCCGGACAGTAAAATATCCTTTCGAGTTTATTAATTTTAAATGTTCATGTACTCAAAGTACATAGTCATTGTTTTATTTCAATAAATTTATGTTATTTATTAACCTTTTACAGGACCGGCCTTTAACAAGTACTTTAAGCAATCAAATTTTGCAACTGCCCTTTTTAACTTTTAGATCTAACTTTTTTTTTTTAAGAACTGCCTTTTCGGTTAGAACTAACCCTTAGATTATGCGCTGGATATAAATAAAAATAAATAAATTTGCGTACATTATCAGCGAAAGGTCGTTTTTTATCCCTTAGCGCGTTCGACATTATTAGAATATTAAAACACATATACACGTAGCAAACGCGAAGCCAATAACCGCCGTTATTACGGGTATCGTACGGCACGCTGTAGCGAAAGGCCGACGCGACGGCTATGATCATCCGATCGAGTCCCGAGCATTATTTATGACATTGAATGTCGTTGGCATACCTAGATTTTGGTATCAAAGAATATTGTATGATTCATTTAATAAGATTTTTACAACATTATTTAATTACTTTAATATATTTAAAATAAAGTTAGCTTAAATTAAAAGGAACTGTTACACGGCAAATTATTATTAATCATTTTTTAATCGTTTCTGCGGAATACATAAGTTTTTTTCAAAGTTGTTGTACATAAAAGATATGATTTGAATGAAGTGGAATGCCATCATTTTGTGTTAGTATTTTAAAATAATTTTAGGGATGTACAAAAATGTTTCAAATAAATGTTTAGCTCAAAAAAGTTAGTTTTGCGCTCGATAAAGGAAATCATAAATTAGATATTTTCATCTTTAGTTGATCCCTAGGGAAATCCTTACTTTCGAATATATGAGTGGAACATAAAATATTGTAATGTGAGGGAAATCTCTATTAATACCTAATAATTCTAAGTACAAAGAGGACACTTGAAAAAGCAATCATCAAAATGCAGAAATAGCTAATAGCTATCTTAGTCCAAGAGAATTAAGCTCAAAAGCTTCGAAATATGGCTGTTGCTTGACGTAAATTAGATATTAGTAAAAATCGGTCGAAAATAATGTATATAATGAAAAAATAACGTTGCGCCAAGAAAAAAAGGTGTGCTATTTACAGAAAAAAATAAAAACTGCAAAAATACTCAAAAATGACGTGTTTTTTCTAATGTAACTTCTTAAATATGCAGTTTACAGAAAAAACTATTACTGATTAAATTGTTTGTTATGAAATTTGCTACAAGATAGAATTATTTTATGCCTAACTTTAACCCCAGCACTCACGTAAAAAATAACATTTCGCGCTAGTCGGGGCTATAGTCCGTAGAGTAGTTGTTTCCTGAAGTATCACCAGTTAAGGATCTTTTCTGTGAGGTTAGATATATTTTGCATGCCTAGATCTTTGGTGTCACAGAACATTGTATACCTTTATTTGATGGGATTTTTAGAATTAAAAAAAATATAAAAAAAAATCTTATTTACTTTAAGATTTTAGATTTGTTTCGCCTAATATTTCTTTTCAATTTACACTGTTCCACCTAATATTTTTTGGCGTACCTCCTTTATTTTGTCCCTCCTAGCAAAGTCAACGTCAACCTCGTCGTCGGTCATATTAACTTCGCTGTTTTCGATCCCGTAAAAGTACTGAGAGTTCGTCTCGTTTTGGAACCCGACGTCGTTATCCTTCACCGCCCTGGGTTGCCTTGAGAAGTACACCCCCGTCCAAGCCATCACCATGATGGTACTACCAAGCATTGCACCACCCGCCTTATTCATTTCGATTCGATTCTCGGAACCCGCAGACACAGAAAGAACGGACACGGCACTCGAAGAACGTGAACGGCACCAATTTGTGAACCAACCCAGTTGTGTGGTACCTCGACGCACGATCGTGTCGGTACGACGTCCAGACGGGTACTGGTCAACTCGGGGCGGCAGTCGTAAACTTGAAGTATGTTATCAGTGGCGTTATCGGTGCGTGGAGGCAGAAGAACCAACTGTTAACAGCATTTGTCGGATGCAGATCGCGTGCCTCGAAAAAACCAATCAATAGCGAGATGGGAGCCAGTAGTACAACTTGCGAGTTATCGCCGAGAAAATGGAAAATAACGAGCGTGTTTATGGTGTGGCGATTAATTCATGTTTGTGTCGTAATTGCTCAAGTGAATGGTCTTCATGCTGCGGGTGCTGAGGCCATTCGATGGCCTCTTTTGTCATTATGTTGCTGATTCTAATTAGCATTTAAGTGTGCTCGAAATGATGGACGTAAAAACATACCATGTACATTTTTTTTTAGAAGTTACAAGTTACAGTAGGTACCTCTTGGCATTTACATACATATGCGACTGTGTCGGTATCTGTTTTAAGAGTAGGTTGTATGGATGTTTCATAGTAACGCTAATTTTGGAAATAGTTCTAAATATTATATAAAATGACAATTGCGATATGCGCCCGCTGAAAAAGTTGTGCATAATTGTTAGCGCAAGAAAATGTAAAAAAAATTAAAAAGGCGCAATATTGTCCCTTCTTTCATGTATAACTCGGAGAATATTGACATTAGAGAAAATAGTCAAAGGAAAAAAAGTTGTCAAATTAGAATAGATTTTGCTTTCCTCTATCGATTAAAAAAAACATCTATTTATCTGTTGTAGAAGCTAAGAAAAAGTCGACTGAATTTGTGCTAGTGAATTATGCTGCTCCGCTCGCATATTTCCCCCACTCCACACTCTTTGACTCTCTGCTCGATTACTGTGAAATGTATCAATATTTTTTGCATCAGAACCAATTTGAACCATCATTTGAACCAATTTTCAGTTATAAAGTATTTACTTCAAACTTTAAACAATCAAAATCACTTTTGATTGTTATTGTACAGTACGATGTTTTGCCGTACTCACTTCAACATTGAGCTTTCATATCCCGATGACGATTCATCGTATCCACAAGATCAAAAGTGGTTTTGTTCGTCAATCCTTCCTCTATTTGATCCTATTTGAAGAATATACAAATACGGTAGCTCCAGCTCTAAATGTTTATAAGTATTTTTTCGAAGAAATTTTGAAAAAATTCAAATTGTTGCTAAAATGGATAGAATCGAACATTTTTAAATGGGGATTGATAGTTGAGACTCCAAAGGGTATGTATAAAAATTGGGAGCTCAAAATAATCATTGGCTTTACCGTGAGAGTCCATGGGGACTTTCCGAACCTGTATAAAACATCCATCTCGAAACAGAAACCGATTGGAATATTAAGACATTACTGTCACTTTGTTTAAATATTACTTGAAAAAGTATCTCATTTATATCAGGTGTTCTTTGGGTGAATCAAACTTAAAAAAATATTGATATTTTTCTTATTATTTCGTAACCATTTACTTGTTTTGTTTTAGACATATATTTTATTATTAGCTTCCGTATTCAATTAAAATAAAACCAAGTTTTTTTTTTCTAAAAAATCATACTAAATGAAGTCGAACAATGTTCTTCGATATCCAACAAGATTCCTAAGTGCAGATATTGGTGAAAACTAAAAATATTAACTCAGCAAAAAATACCTAAGGAAGCAAAAAAAATTCTAAATTTCTTTAGTGATTTTTGGAAAGCTGTAACTTCGTGAATAACGTATCGAAAAAAAAAGGAGTTGGTTTGAGGTTTTTGTTTTGGAATTTTTGGGTTGAACCTTTTTTTGAGCATCAATCAAAAGAAATAGCGCAAGCAAAAACAGTTTACTACAATTTTTTTAATACTGCGAATGGACTAAAATTTTTTCCTGGCTTAAATAATGCCAGGGTCATTTAGACTGATTCTTCAGCTTCAATTTGTTTTTTTTTTAAATTTTCTGTATGATTATTTCTCAACTTGAGTCAATTCTCTTCAAAATTTTGATTTTATTTTCAATATTTGACGAGTATTATCGTGAAATTGTGAGAAAAATAACGCAAAAAAAATTTTTCATCTTAATCATGATTAATTGACGTTTAAGGGGCAATAAACCTGCTCCTTTAATTTTTTAAAAAACTTTGACGATTTAGGAAAGAAAAATGATTCGACTGACTGATTTCAAAATTGCCTCATGGGCATGTATTGAGCTAAAAAAAACCTACAAACATTGGTACTTTTCGCAATATTCGCAAAGTAGTCGTTGATTTCCCAAAACAGCGGAAAAAGTCATTTTTGCAACTTTCCAAATTAATACTGAGCATAAAAAAAATTCCTCAAACATATCAAAAGACCCTTGAAGAGGATTGATTAATGATTAATTTTATTGAAATAAAAGGAAAATTTTATTTTGGTAGTAAATCTAGTTTCATACAAATGTCAAAATAAAATTAGTTTCAAAAGAAGAATAAAGATACCTCTTTCTAATCAAACATGTTTTCTTATAAATTTTCCTTTTTTTATTGTTTATATATTCGCATTTCCTATAAATCTACAACAAAATGTGTAAATGAGAATTTAAAATAAGGGTTCAAGGATATCGAATATAAACTAAAATTTCATAACTGAAGATATTGTTTATAAACTGAAGGATTGTTTAATAATTCTACTAAATTCACCAAGCGACAATACAAACAATTCCACATTTTAGAAATAAAATGCGCTTTTAATTTCTTAGACGTCACAGTAATAGCTTTGGGATGACATCGCAAATAATATTCCACGAAGTTGTTAACATTTTTAGCAAATAATGTTGCCCAACAACTCTCATTCAAGTTTGCTGTCTTCAAACATATCAACAACTAAATTTTATTCGTACTAGGAATTTAAAAGATATTTCTATGTTTTTAAAGAAACAACTAGGACGATATGGTGTTACTGAATTTATGCTTAAGATAACTAGAGCAATTCCAAATCTATTTGGTTTTACGTTATTATCAATTACAAATTTGTGAAATAAACAAAGGCAGGCGTCACTTAAACTGATTCCTCAAAGAGGCGTTGACCAACATGATTGTGATATCATTCTGCATCAATTGGGCTTAAATGGTCTTTATGATAACTTGATTTTAACCTTTTAATTCTTATTTAATAGTCGGATTACAATTTGTGGACATTTTTATAATCGACAGAAACAAAACGAGTTAATTTGAATTGTAGATTAAAAAAATAATAATTTAATCTTTTTAGACTGCTTGTATCGAAGTTTTCTTAAAAAACTATCCACGATAAACGAAAAAATTATAAATAATAGTTTATCACACATATGTATGTTTATCTGATTAATAAAGCCTTTGTCGAGGGTGTTGTGAGAACAACAAACATACAAGATATTTCTTCGAATGATTATATTATTTAACATTTTCAGTATATAATTACATATCTGTTACTTGCTATTTACTAGATATTATTTGTTTTCAGCAATGAGGAATCTTGCCTGTGGAGTTAGACAGCCAGCTTCTGCCATCAAAGAATATTGTTTGACTTCATTTGATGAGATTTAAAAATTGAATTTGTTTGAATTATTTTAAGGCTGGTGTTTTGTAGACAATGATAGAACAAGTAGATCCATCCAAGAAGTGACGAAGCGTAACACTAAACTAGAGCAACTTCCTTTAATTTTTCGCATTGAAAGATCACGGAGAATATGTAAACATCAGAAAATGTATCCTTACTGTTTTGTCCAGTAAATTTGCAAAGATACTCTCATTATTAACTTTTAATAAAAATGCGCCACAATTACGTTACACACTGCTAAGCTACACATTGTTAAGCTCTAAAAAATGTCGATCACCTGTTCAAGTGAACACGCTGTAATAAGAAGATCATCAGTGCAGCACTTGACAATAACAATTACATTTTATCTTATCCGGTGGGTACTTTAACTGTATCTGATTACATCAGCAGAGTAATCTCAGAAAACACGGCTACTAGTTATCAGTATTCAATAACATTTATTTATGTTGGTGATAGTAGTATACTATTGAAAAAAGGACATATCACTTTATTTATAAACATGAACAAACATAAATTACTGTTTAAATGACAAAATGATAAAACAAAACATGATGGAAAGTTACTCATATTCAAAAATAGAGATTCGTTCGAAGGTATGATTGCTAAGAGAGGCATTGCAATTTTCCCCTAGTTTCACAAAATTCAGATTCTCTAAGATTCAAAATGTACTTGGACTAGTCATTCAGGGATAATAGGCAGAGCGACTGACATATAGACTATTCAATAAATTCCACACACTTCGACAAAATAAATGAATTAACCTATTTATGCATTTTTAGGATTAAAAAAATCTAAAAAATAGAATTAATAGGTACTATTTGAATATTAAATAACAAATTATATATAAACTTAGTTTTTAGACAACTTTTATTGCGACAGATTTGGTGGATCCACCTCTAATAGTTGGGTCAAAAAATGGCTCATAAACCTATATGTTGGAAAGAAATTATTATTTATGGTAATCGTCATTTTCGTAAGTGGAAAAATTTAGATAAATTTGAAACGAATACACTGAAGATGAATTTTTCGAGACAAAACGTCTGAATCTGGTTCGGGCTGAGGCAGTACAGTATTGGGGGTCATGAAGGCTTGAAAAAATTGTAATAAAATTTCTAGGGTCGTATTTAACAAAATGAAGTTGATGAATTGATGATGGTCCTGGAGAGACGAAACGTTACATATAAAAATTGATTATGCCATTGGATAGAGGGCAAAAAGTGGCCTTGAGAAAGTGTTGTTATTTTTTCAATATCACCTTAAACAAGGCTGAAATGAAACAAAAACGGATTTACAAAATTTCGTTTTTTTTTCAAATATTTCGAAAACTGAACATGTTAGCCCTCATTTTTTAGAGGCATAATGTTGGTTCCTTGATTATACAACTTTGCTCACATTTAAGCTACTTCGTATCTCTTACTACTTATTTTTGAAAAAAAAATTGAAGATA